CCCCCCCCCCCCTCTCTCCATCTGAGCGACGGGCAGAGAAAGAGACTTCCATCTTTGTCCCTGGCATTCCAGCCGTGTACATGGCATTGTGTGTTTCCGATCCTATTGCAGCTGTGATACTGCAGCAGTTCAAGGGTCATGTACTCATGAATTTTGTTTATTCATTAAGCACACTGTACGCCTTTATGCCTGGGCGCCATGTTTATTTGTGGAAATATGTTGGGATGCACCAATATTAAAACTGTGTATTATTTTCATGTAATGGTTATAAACATGTTATAAAGCACTAATAAGACAATCAGTAATTTTAAATGCTACAAGTGAATATAGGCACCCAAACATTATAATGTACAGTATGTTAAATTCATCTTGAGATTTGTTTAGGATTGCATTTAATAGCATTATTAAATTATTAGTGTTTTAAAGATGGACTTTTAGTGAGATTAGATGATGGCAAAGATAATCTAAATGTAAAAATAATGGACAGAATTAATGCGGAATTAAGTATTCAATTTTATCCAGAAGTGTTGTTGTTGTTGTTGTTGTTGTTAACAACTAAAACTACTGAAAATTGTTTGTGTTAATTAAAATAAATCAAAAATAAAAGTAGCTAAAATAAACTAAAACTTTAATAAAAACAAATTAAAACTATATATATTAAAAATAATAAATATTAAGATTAAAACTTTGAAATTATATAAAAAATAAATACGAAAATAGTAAAATGATTAATATTACTTATAATATACTTATTACTTATAATATTATTAATATTATATAATGTGTAATTAATATTAAAATACTATGTAACTTTTTTGTTAAATTTATATAAGTACATCATGAATCAGTCTTCCAAACTGTGCTTTTGTCTTATCCTTAATCACTACAGTATGCCTATAATAAGTGTTTATATTCAGACTATTCTTCCGCAAGACACGTGCAGTTTTGTTTATTAACCACTAGAGCTCCAAAAGTTACATAGTCTACTTTTAAAAATCTTGAATATCGCTGATAATCGTTATGGTACTGATATATCATGCATCCCTTGAAATTTTCATTCTAAAAATATGGTAAATATATGTTTTTTGTGTGATTAAATCCAGAATTTCGTGAATTCATTTAGCAGATTTACTTTGCATGAAATATATGCTAATTTATTTATGATAGAATCAATATTCATATTTGATAGATTATTGTTCTTTTTACCACTTTCAGATAAAGACAAACCTCTGGACTCCGATGACGATTCATTAGGTGGAGTTGGGGGCATGAACGGTGGGAACGGCACCCTGCGTTCCACTAACCAGTCCGCCTTCCTCGGCCCATTGCTATGGGAACGTTCGCTGCCGTGTGACGGCGGCCTGTTTCAGCTACAGTACATGGACCTGGAGGAGTTCTTGACGGAGAATGGGATGGGGTGCATGCCGTCAGGAAACACCTGCAGTGCGGCCGCTCAGGTTCCTTCTCAGAGCACGCAGTCGGCCGTACCCAGCCAGAGCTCTCAGTGCCCACCTTCTTCCTCTCCACCCTGCTCTTCCTCTGCCTCCTCCATCTCTTCCCTTTCCTCATCGTCTTCATCATCTTCTTTACTGGGTCTGGACGTGCCGCAGGGCCCTGGACTGCTGGGAGGTCCGGAGTGTCTGCATGGTAAGAACGTTTTTCATTCGATTTTGTGAGGAAGCATAATGGCTAACATAGATTGCTAATGGTTTAGTTGCTACATACCGTTTTATGAACAGTCTAAAATAGTTCCATATCGCAGATTTGTTAGTGTGTGTCTGTACGACAACGTGTTATTTTGTCTCCACCACTTTTTTGGTGTATATTTGTGTGTGCATTGGTGTGAATGTGAGCAGGACAGTCTCAGCCACGGCAGTGTAGACTGCAGTGATGCATGATGGGATGTCTAAAGCTGTTGGCCTCTGATGCCCTGGGCAATGCAGGCTTTGAAGCTTTAAGGGCACAGCTGTGTGTGTGTTTGTGAGTGTACTAGTGCGTGTAGAGTGGAAATGTTTCTTTACAGCACAATCATCAGAGCAGATAATAACCTCATGTAATATTTGGGGAAGCACCAAATTTGGAAATCCTACTTAACTAGTAGGCAATGTAATGCCATTAGTGATTGCATATAGTGCAGTACTTCAACTATGTCTTTAGTTTTTGGACATTGTTAAATTGAGACTAATATAAATTAGTGTACAGTATTCTGCACTCATTATTCACTAAAAGAACCATTTGAATCTTCAAAATGCTGCACAGAAAGAGGGAGAGAAAGGACTGCTGGAGATGGTGGCTGCATTTCTATTGCATGTTTTGAAATCTCTCTCTCTCGCTCCCCCTCCCTCCTGCTCTCTCACACGTTGGGGCCATGTGCAGTAGACTTGTCACGTGCTGATGCAGAGAGCAATGGAGAGAGAGAGTGAGGGGAAAGAACGGACGAGGGAGGAGAAAGAGGGGCAAGAGGAATAGAAAAGAGAGGAGACTAAAAAGATACAAGTTTTAAGACATATGTTTGACTGTGCAAACATATGGGGGTTGTGGGAACGAGCTTTACGTAACAATCTTCCTATATCACTTTGTGTTGGTCTTTGTGCGTTGTCTTAATGAATGAAAAACAAATCTTTGGCAGGCCTCCGGAGTGCTCAGGCTTAGAAGCTCATTATTAAATTACAAAGAATTTGATTATGTTTACATGAGCAAATTGGGCTTTCGAGAGCTGTCTTAAGTCTGAAGCCGGATTGTTCTGTTGTTGAAATAAACAGAATTATCTTATTTTAACATTTACAGGCGATGTTTAAAGGTGCATACAACAGCAAACGCTACATGCATATAATTAGCTCTTAATTGTATGTGTGTATCCTAAATACATTATATCTGTGTAAGAACTTACTCAGGGACAATTTAAAGCAGCGGCTCTGAACCGTTTAAGCAGAAACTGCCATTACAGCTAATGTATCATAATTAATGTCAAGTGCTCGCCTTCCAATCGCAGCCTTATCAGCTGCTCTAAAAGCATATTTCAAACTAAAAAGAGGAAGAATATATGAGAAGTCAGCCATGTAAAGTGCTGGGAAACGAGGCCCAATGAATTTTAACAATCTCGACTGAGAACAAAATGTGAGCGTTTTCAGGGTCAGTTTCATGGTGTTTCTCTGGATGTTTATCACATGAGTTGTAACTGCAGGTAGGCTTGTCGACCTTGCCTGCCAGCTGCTGAAATTGGCAAGTGTCCACGTTGGCTTTTGGTGCACCCTTGTGGCTAAAACGAGCCACTGCAGCTAGTCAGGGAACATATATGGAGTCAAAATAATGCCACATATATTTTGCAAAACTTTATTTTCTTTTGCAAAACTTTATTATTTTGCATATATATGTGGCATTATTTTGACTCCATAAACATACATCTATTGTTCATAATCCTCTTTGGTTTAGCCCAGACGCGTGATGTTTTCTTCTGTCTGGTAACATGTGGCCTGCGACATGTGACAGACTATTTTTTCTTGACGCTTCTGTCTTTCTCAACAGGGGCTCAAACTGTACCACCTGACCCTTCTCCGAGCCCCTCCTGCCCACCTCCCCCTGTGGTGCCACCCACCAACGTGGCTGATGTTATGGTGAACTTTGATCCTGACCCCGCTGACCTCGCCCTGTCCAGTGTGCCAGGCCAGGAGGCGTTTGACCCGCGCAGGCATCACTTCACAGAGGAAGAGCTGAAACCTCAGCCCATGATCAAGAAGGCCCGCAAAATGCTGGTGCCAAATGATCAGAAGGTGCTACAGATACTTTTATTTTTAGAGATTGTTTTCCAAATTTCTTATCATGCTGCTGGCAAGTGTCTATGAATAATCAATTAAATAAATCAATAAAAATCTCTTAAGGATAATATACAGTTTTAGTCAGCATCATAAGAGTCCATCTTATAAAGAAGGTCAACTGTATTGTTGTTAACATTGTAACTATATGGTTCTGTCCTTGAATATGCTGCTATTATTATGATTATGAAATATTATGATTGATAGATAGATAGATAGATAGATAGATAGATAGGTAGGTATAGATAGATTGTTTTCCAAATTCCAGAAAAACTTGATTGTTTTATCATGCTGCTGGCAAGACGTCTATGAATAATCAGTTAAAATTAAGTATTATAAAAATCTCTTAAAAAGTCCATCTTCTAAAAAATGTCAAGCCTATACTTATTAACATTGTAACCATGCTGTGCTTGAATAAGCCGTTATTATTGTGAATATTATATATTATAATAAAGGATGTACCAATATTACCATTCTGGCTGATATTTAAATTTACATGAAGCCAGTAATTATTAATAATATTATGGTAAATAACAGATAAATGGCCAATGTTAATATTCTACACCTTTTGGTGTAAAGTAAAACTTAAACACACAAATGGCCAATGTTAATATTCTACACCTTTTGGTGTAAAGTAAAAATTAAACACACACACAAAACCCAGACAAAATCAATAGTTTTAAATGCTACAATTGAATTTAAGCATCACAACTTTAAAATGTACAGTATGAAAATGGATATTCATTTTATGAGGATTACATTTAACAGTGTAATTATTAAACTACTTATTTTTTGTAAAGATTAACTTAAAGTGAGCATCAAATGATGCTAAAGCTAATCTAAATGTAAAAATTGGTGGAAATGAGATTCCTGTGGCTCAGTGGTAGAGCATTGCGTTAGCAGCGCAAAGGTTGTGGGTTCAATTCCCAGGGATCACACATACTGACAAAAAATGTATAGCCTGAATGCACTGTAAGTTGCTTTGTCTGCTAAATGCATACATTTAATTTATATATCATGTATCCGTAATTATGATCTGACCCTTTTCCCTTTTTTCACCTCCAAAGGATGACAAGTACTGGAACCGACGCTTCAAGAACAACGAAGCAGCAAAACGTTCTCGTGATGCCCGCCGACTGAAGGAGAACCAGATTTCAGTCCGAGCAGCATTCCTGGAACAGGAGAACGCCACCCTTCGCCAGCAAGTCGCCGATATGCGAAAAGAGTTGGGCCGCTGTCGCAACATCATCAGCAAATACGAGAACCGCCATGGAGACTGATGAAGAGGAGAAAGGAAGAACAGAAGGAAGAGAAAGACACAATTACTGAATTTTTAAAAAAGCGTTTCAAGGGCTGTTCAACTCATCCTGGAATGGCATTTTCTTGTAGCGTTTGCTTCAAATAAGCACTACGATACTCTGTTCACTAATTTACATTTCTTTCCGTACGTGCAGGGATCGGTTGGATTAGCTGGTATGGTGCTTGGTTGAAACAAATACTTGAAAATCGTGGTTCAAAGTTGAACAGCCTCAGCACGAGGGATGTGCACAAGGTCTACCTGTACTGTAAGCACAAGCACATTTCATAAGCATCGGCTCTTCTCCTACGAAACCACCCCAAACCTTGACTGAGGATGTGCAATCCAAACTCTCATAAATACTCACGGATCATAAAGGCAGATCATTTATAACATCATGTAGCCCTTGTGAACATCCTCTTTCTATACGGGATGATTTTCTCAGAGAGAGAACTATACAGGAGGTGGTAGAGATGTAATTTTTTTCTATGATAAAAAAACACCTTGTATATTTTTGAACTGTTAGGGTCAGCTGTAATAGAGTAGATGAAGAGGCAAAGGAGGGAATGAGGATGGCGGCGAGAGCACAAAAGAGATTTTGACATAGGAAAACTGTATATTTTTATACTTGCAGAAGCAGGCAGGTGATGAGATTTTGGAAATAATCTTTTTTGTATATTTTATATATGGGTGGGAGGGTGCGGGTAGCTGGACCGAAAGAGGGCTATATGAAGAATGGATCGGTATCATAAAATGATATATTTTCAACATCCAGAGCAGTAAGGCAGGTCAGGAAGAACAAGACTAAAGGGACGAACGTCATTAAGAGTTACGAAAGGAAACGGAGCTGATAAACAGAAAATAGCGAACATGAACACTGTATAGTTTCAAATTTTTCATCATGGGTTTGTTCAAGCACTTGTTTTGGTATCTTTGATTCCTTTTCTTAAAATTCTGTGTGTGTGTTCGTTTTATCTTGAGGTGAGAGAGAGATGGAGAAAGAGAGAGAGAAAGATGGCATTACATCCTGTCACTATGTCTCGGGAGTCGCGAAATGTGTACAAGATTTTTCAGTGTATATATTTAAATATTAAAGCAAATACGTCCACATGCTCTCTTTTTAACACTCTTTTTAACACAAACTGGACATGGGTTTTCATGGCCATTATGATATATATATGCACAGACACTCTTTGAAGATGTGAACAACAGAACTGTTAAACACAGCAATATCGTTTCTCTTTCTTTCTCTCTTCCTCGAGCTTTTGACATTGTGATCGGTGCTGGTTTGGCATTTCTCACCCAGGTTGAGTCGGCAGCGAGTGGGTTGCATGCTGGCGCATGCTTGCGTATTTTTTCGCCACAAGAAAGAACACTCTTCATTTTTACGACTTATTTTATATGGTGCTCACCCAGTCTCTTGACCCAGACGCACATAACCCAACAGTTATACCCTGTTTGCCTATAACCTTTGCTCTCGTATGATTTCTTATGATTATCGATCATTGTATGAGGGATCACATATATATATATATATATATATATATATATATATATGTATATGTATAGACCTACATGAGTATATCTATACATTTCCTCAAAATTAACCCCCCCCCAAAAAAAAGCCATGCACCCTAATACTACTGTACCATACGAAGTACAATATTATATTATATATTAAATATTAAACTATTCTCTCACTAGATATATGTGTGTACATGAGTATATGCTTGAATATGTGACTATAGATGTAATTTGCATAACTTGAATATATAAATGTAGTATCTTTCCGATAAAAAAGACAGATCTGATTTCTTAACTGTTTTCTCAGGTGTCTGGGATGACTATAAAAAAATGTTTTTTTAAAACCACGCCATGCTGATCAGCAATACTGTGGCTTTTTTGATTGATTGTTGTCCAGTTTTTTGGAGCCAGCTAATGGTGTCTGTATAATTCCACGGAAATGAATAGTGCACTATCAACTATTTTTGGAGGAAGATTCTGTTATTAAAAAAGGAAAAGGAAAAAAACTGCTGGATATATAACTTTATTACTTTACAGATAGGAATTAAATGTCTTTTTCTTTTGAACCTTGTTGCTCTATTATGATTGCTTGTGCACTATCAACTATTTTTGGAGGAAGATTCTGTTATTAAAAAAGGAAAAGGAAAAAAACTGCTGGATATATAACTTTATTACTTTACAGATAGGAATTAAATGTCTTTTCCTTTTGAACCTTGTTGCTCTATTATTATGATTGCTTGCATTATCATTGCTGTTGTTATGATTATAATTCTCACATTTCTTTTCAGCGTTTTCTTGCAACAACTTACTTTTCGATGGAACCTTGTTGCTCTATTATTACGATTGCTTGCATTATCATTGCTGTTGTTATGATTATAATCCTCACTTTCTTTTCAGCATTTCAACTTACTTTTTCGAAGGAAATGTATTGCTCTCTTACCTCCCTTGTAACTGCAAGACCATCTTGAATTACTCAGTCGAGCCTGTTCACTGTTGGAACCATCCACCGAGACTGTGCAATGGGGGGGGGCGTATTCTTGTCCTTGTGTGTATAAATTTGATATAACCTGAAACAAACAAATAGCAGACTGACTGTTCCTTTCCTTTGACAGAACTTCTTCTTCTACCACCTTTGACTCGCTACTTTGTGATGCCATGTCAAAGACGTACAGTTTGTTTAAAAGAAGCTTAAAGCAAGTGAAGGTTGAAACCTTAAAGAGCTTAAAAACTTTTGACAGTGCTATTTTTCTATGTAACTGTGTGCACATACTCTTTCATGGGCATTGGTAGCCCGTCGTCACTTTAGCGGTGACGGCGCGGTGCTAAATGTTATTGCGGGTATTGTATTCATCATTTTATCCCTTTCCACATGTGGATTATGAACAGCTCCCTGTTTGTGACTGTTATGAACTATGAATCTCATGAGTGCACCACTACCAAACATCACTTGGTAATGTCTACTGTTCCTGCCTATAGGGATGCTGGGAAATGTGGTCTGGCTCCCCCCCACCCCCCAAAACACCAATAAATAATTACCCCTGTTCACTGACAATGAATTCCTTGTGCTGTAAATACACATTTATTTCAGAATTGATGGTTGAAAGCAAAGTCATTTGTAAATAGGCCATTTTGAATGAATGCCTTGGAATCTGATCAGAGGCTGATTTTTATAAACCACTGGTAGACCAGTCCAGAACATTATGCCAAACTCTGACTCACAATCTGAATGATGATATAAGTGAAGTAGCAGCTCAGCCCTTGCTTTTGCGTTTTGTTTACTCTGTGCTATTGTCAGTCTCCAAGCTAATTGAATAAAGGTTAACAGCAGCTGTGTCACACACCCCATCAACCAACTATCCAAACCAGTTTCAGGCATGCAAAAGGCTCTTTTAGCCTGCTTGCATGCCATCTGTTTGGCCTTGCGCATTGAATGCTTATGTCAACGTGTGATTATTATGCTCCTAAGTCTTCTCATAGAAATATCTAAACTGTAGGTGAAAGTTTGAAACTGCTCTAATCCAAAAGGCTCCAAAAGTTCACGTAAAGTACAACCTTTCTCATTCTTCGTCTCTGAGAAGCATTCAAATATAGCATCCATTCTCCCAAGTGGCCTTCAACAGACTGAAAGTGAAAAGCTTGAAATTGAAATGTTTTCACATACTGAAAAGTCTCACTGTGACTCTGATTTCAATTAAGTTAGGGATATGTATGAAAAATGATGTCTACAAAATGTTATAGGTGTATTGAAAACAGTCTAGACTTGGTATTTAATCACCAACTCAAATCAAAGTTTATTATTGTGGCTCTGTTCTACAGAAAGCAAAATGTATTTCTCCAGCACGAACATTTAGCATTAGACAGGCAACATTAAACAGTAAATGGAAATACAAAACGAACAAACAAACAAAAAAAAAACATTACCAGGAGTGGGCAACAATAAATGGGACATTAATATGAAATGTAGTGCTCGGTATAGTACATTATTGCAGTGTTGAAGGGAGAATTATTACACTGAGGTACTGCAATTTCATACACATATACAGGCCTTTCAGCACCTAGTAGACTTTTCAGGTGGGAAGTTGGGGGAGGCGATGAGTCAGTGTTATTGAGCAGCTAGATGGTTTGAGGAAAAAGCTTTCGCTGGATCTGGTGGTTGTAGTGTTATGCGGATAAAAATGAGTGTTTTGGTAGGCTATCATAAGACGATTAAAAATAGTAAACACGGACAAGCTCATGCTGGTCTGCCAAGGGGCTGTAGTGGTCAGCTCGTGCTGTATTTGCCAAGATGCCAGGGGCTGTAGTTGTCAGCTTATTTATTATATATGCACCAACGGCTCTGCTTCTCATCTTATTTTGGCAGTCTCGAGCCTCAGGCCAGAGGCTTTGGAGGGCCCTGACAGTCTGAGGCCCCGGGTCTCAAGCTCCATAATCCAGGCCTGGCTATACATGCTTCATAACATGCCAAAAGCCTTTATGTTTGATTACAGTGATATCCCAGAACAGGCTGATCCTGAAAAGCGTCTGCCTACCTGTAGATGGTAGTGAAGATCAGGCCTCTTGTGTTGATGTTTTGAATAATCTTATGGAGAAAAGATGTAGGCGGTTCTCCATTGAGGTGTATGAGTTCTATTTAAGTTGCTTTATGGTGTGAGTACACAATCATTGAAAGAGACAGGATATTAAAGAGATAGTTTGTCTAAAAGTGAACATTCATCATTTTGTGGAACATTTAAGAAATGCCTTTGTTTTAGAATGTCAATGGTCACCAAAATGGTTTGGTCAAAGTCCCTTTAAGGTATTCTATAGACTTTGGTTTGGTTACTAATACCTACATTCTTCAAAATATATTCTGTTGTGTTTCACTGAAAAGAGGTTTGGAACAACAAGAGGGTGAGTAAATGATGACAGATTTTGGGTGAACTATCCCTTTAAATAGCACTTGGTATTCAAATTATTTTTAATTTGAATACCATATATTGCAACAAAAATTTTGTTGCGAATATAACTACACACATGACCTCACGTAAGTCTGACATAAAATATATTTGTAGGTTTGGAAACTAATAAAAAACCGGAACCGAATGGCGTTCGGTTCTGTTAACAGTTCTCGCACGTGAACACGCACTCCCGCCGAAACTGACGGAATACCATTTTACAAGATAAAGTTAAATATCACTGATAAATCCTTGTCTGTCAATGGAGATTCATTCTGAGAATCATTTTCTCTAACAATATTTCAGCAAGCGTGTGTTCTCTGTCACTTGCTAAGAATCGGACGATATTCGCGAATGAATCACTCTTTTGATTCAGTCGGTCAAACTGAACGGTCGGTCTGAAATTATTCACGATTCAGTTCGATTCATTCACGATTCAGTTCGATTCATTCGGTCAGTCCAGTTACACACTGAATAGCTTCAAGGGGTTTTTCCACATCGAACAGGATACTTTATGAGACAAAAAGCAAAAAGAGCGCCGGATTAGGTGGATTTTAAATTAATTTAATGAAACAAAACTCTTCTGAGAAAAATCTTCTGTCGTTTGTCAGCAAAGGACATCTTATTACACATGCAGCTTCGGAACGACTCTACAGCAGGTAAAGACAGTTTATATACATATATCTATTACTGCATTAAAAAGAGTATAAAAATATGGGGACACAGTAATAAAGGATTACTGGCAACCAGTGTTATTCGATTCACGAGAAAAGAGCCTTAACGAATCAATTCATTAAAGAGAACGACTCTTATGCACCAGTTCGTTTTAATGAGTTGCTCAAAAAGACTGTGAATCGGACTTCACCGTTCACGTCGTGTTTTTTGTGCAACGGTGAAGAGAAGATTCAGAGAGCCTATTTAATGTCTTTTTTTTTATTTCACTGCACGCAGTCTTTCTCTTTCAACATGCTAAATCAAACTGCAAGCTCAAAACTCATTTATTTTGCCCTGGCGCTGTAGATTCAGTAGTAGTGCAGTAAGCTGTCAGAGTATTTTAACGTCTTTTCACATTGGCAAAAGAACATAGGCATTCAAGAGCTATTCATATCATCAAAACCATTGGTTCCACTACAGTTTTGAGGAAGAACTGGTTCTAAATTACTCACCCTCGCTGTATGTAATGTGCAGGCTTGACAGATGATGGTTTTGACTTGCAGTGAAAAGTCTAAACAACTCCAATTGACCTAAAGAGAACAGATTTTCACACAGAAGGCCAAATCAAAACAGCATGAATATTTTTATTATGGGCAGATGATTGCGAACATATATACAATGTGTGGAAGCATAAATTATTGTACGGGTTCTTGAGAGACAGGAATGAGTGAGAGGTCCTATTCATTAGAAATGTCTTATGTGCATTGCCTCAATAGAAACCATATGTGAGACCTTCCAATACCCTTCCTGCAGTCTATATAAGTCTACTTATTCATTTTCACCCTGCCTCCCTCTCTTTCTGTTACTTCATCACTCTTTCCTTCTCACACCTCATCCTAGTTCTCTGCCTCTAA